TTTTTTATGGAGTTATGAACCCCTAATAACAGATTTCCATTCAACAAAGGCATCATTTTGCTTTGTTAATGATTAAATCTGAACTAAGGCTTTTAAGAAAAATTGCTGGCAGGGTTTTGGAATATTAAATGGTGTCATTAAATTTGTGTTAAAACAGTGTTTGTGCGTGCTCAGGTAAAAGAGAAATGTGACATGACGTGTGTAAATGCTAATTAATTTTGTCATGGAACACTGAAGATATATTTATTATCCAAAATGATGTATGTTTTCAATAAATAAGGAGTTTTTGGCAAATGTTTAGTAATATAGTATCCTTAAAAAAGACAAAGTTTCATAATTTTATAATCCAAACTCAGTTTCAGCACCTAGTTTTTGTGCATCTCCACACTCCAGCCCATGTTTCTTCCTCACCAGCCATAATACACATCTCCATACTCCAGCCCATGTTTCTTCCTCTGATCGAGTCACCAGCCATAATACACATTCCTTTTGCATTATGTCAACCATGAATCAGGCTGAAGTGGCAATCCCTCTACAAATATATAAAGAGAAAAAATGAAAATGTAATTAATATAGGCTTGCACATTCACTTAAATAAATGAATGATTAAAATATAGGGCAACGCCTAAACCATATCAAAAACAAAGTGCCCCCCTTAGAATAAGGAGTATTTAAAAGCACACACAGGGAAGGTGCCTGCAGCGGGCCTTTGTTTCCCAGGGTTGTTACTAGTCATGTGAAAAACAATTTTGTCCTATCAGCTCTTAGTAACTAGGCCACGTGAAAAACATCCGGTAGCGTGGCCAATGGTCATTCAGCTTAACTTTGTAGGCCCTATTAATTTTTCACTCCTGGGGCAGTCTTTGTTTAGCGACGCCAGCTGAAACATGCATAATTTTTAGCGTTAGCACACCGACCTTGCTGTTTAAGCCTATTCTGCTTTGCTCTCATTAAATACTTGTTTTACTACATCTACTACGGCGGCACCATGGGCGAGGAGTTCCAGGCTTGGAGAAACGAGTACGAACTCAGCGATCAGACAATGACCATTCTGAGCGAAGCAGGATTCACTTCAACGAGATCCTGCAAGATGCTGACGGACACGTTGATCCACAAAACTTTCGGCAAGACGCTACCACTAGGGCAGCTGCTGCTATTGCAGGAAGCAGTTTCATCACTAAACACAGATGTGAGTATGAAACCAACTGCAGCAAGGCCTGTCGCCGACGCTGCAGTGGACCCTCCTTGCGAGACAGACGGAGCCAGGGCAGGCAGCAGCAGAGGGCCGGAAGCGCAGCCGCCATCTTCCTCGGAGACAGGATGTGACGTCACAAACATGGCGGCGCCCACTGCAATCGAGGGAGAATTAGACTACACGAAATTATGTCAACTTTTGGGAACCAAGACGACCAAGGGAGTTCATAAGGAATCAACGTCTCCTCAAGGTAAGAGCAACTTTGACCCGTTTGATTCCCTGGGTGCTTCTAACCCCGCAAAACGCCATTATGACGTCCGGGACTTTATTATGTTTAAACAGCAGTACAACACTAGCCAAAACGACAGCGCGACCGTGAGGATTGGCGACTTCAATGTATCTCTCAGCGACAGACGTCCCCCCTTAGAGAGCATAACGCCCATGCAGTACACCGAGGCCAGCATGAAGATCCTCACGGAAATGATAGTGAAAGAGGGCATAGACTTGGCAACTGTAGCGAGTCACGTTAGCTACATCACAAAGATCACTTGCATGGCACAAGCTTTCGAATGGCAGTCGGTGCTACGTTATGATATGGAATACAGGAAAGCCCAGGCTACACAGGGGTTTCAGTGGGGCACTGACAGTGTTTTTCTCATGCAATTGCTGTTGAAATCAGTAAAAGCGGACCAACCAACTCGCCCCCAAAGACAACAAAGGCAAAGTAAATCGGATCCCTCTACAGGCCGCCCAGTTTGCCTCAAGTTTAATGGACAGCTGGGCTGCAATATCAGGAACTGTAAATTTTCCCACATCTGCAGCACCTGTCTTACATCTGGGCATGGAGACTTTACTCATAAGCAATCACAACAGCAGCCAGGCTTACAGCAGCATAAGGACTACTGACAGATGCCTGGGGATTCCCCCACAGTATCCCCACTAACCAATAACATAAAGACATGGAAAGAACTTATGAGAGGGGATTATGATTATGACTTCGTAATAGGGGGCATAGAGACGGGTTTTAAAATTGTAGACGATATAAAGGCGGATAACATAGCACCAGCAGAAACCAAAAACAGCAAATCAGCGCTGCACCCAGACTTTTAGTCCAAAGTTGAGGAACAACTCCTTTCTGAACTACGGGAGGGACATTTGATTAAGCCACACATGTCTCCAAGAGTTATTAGTGCGTTATCGGCCGTACCTAAGCCAGACGGAGGAGTGCGCGTAATCCATGATTACAGTCGGCCAACAGGAAATGCGGTAAATGACTATGCTTCAAAGCTACCTTTCCAGTGTGAGAAACTAGAAAATGCGCTATCTCTTATCAAGCCTGGCTATTTCCTCGCAAAAATTGATCTCCATTCTGCATATCGCTCAGTGCCACTCCACCCTTCGCAGTACTGCCTCACAGGCCTTCAGTGGCATTTCCAAGGGTCACCGGCAGAAAAAGTGTTAGCAGACACTAGACTCCCGTTCGGAGCCAGGAAATCACCTATGATTTTCCATCGCATCACCCAGGCTGTGAAAAGGATAATGGACAAGCGGGGACACAAACTGGTGGTGTATCTGGATGACTTTTTAGTGGTGGGCAAGACTCATGAAGAGTGTTTTACTACGTACAATGAGCTCATCGCCCTTCTCCGGCAGCTGGGCTTCAGAATCAATTGGAAAAAGGCTGTTGACCCTACTACCAAACTGACCTTTCTGGGTACAGTGATTGATACAACGCAAGGTACACTTTCACTTGAGAAGGGAAAAGTGGAGGAACTTTGCCAGATATTAAGTTCTTTCAGTCGCCGTACACGTGCCACCAGAAGGCAGCTGGAATCATTGGCGGGCAGACTGTCGTGGGCAGCCAATGTGATTCCATGGGGTAAGACCCACCTACGTCCAATTTTTTATAAGATTAGAGAACTTAAGCAACCATCGCACAAATGCCGAGTGAAGGACATTCACAATGAAATAGACTGGTGGCTTGCGTGGTTACAAATGGGAAACAATACGCGTCTGATATGGGACATGCGCGAGCAAGTACATGTTTACACAGACTCTAGTAGCACCGCAGGGGGAGCTTTCCACTACGGGGATTGGTTCTATACCAACTGGCTTTCAGACAGCCCAGTTCTGAGCGTTCAGCATATTAACGTCCAGGAACTCGCAGCTGTAGTCCTGGCAGCGCATAGATGGGGAGTGACATGGAAGAACAAGCGTGTTGTTATTCATACAGATAGCAAAGTGGCTATGGACATCATAAACAAAGGGGCCTCACCCAACGTCATGTGTAATAATCTTTTAAAAGAGCTATCGAGCCTGGCTCTGCATTGTAACTTTGCGTTGGAAGCGTCTCACATAACGGGGACGGACAATGTCCTTGCTGATACAATCTCGCGTTTACATGAGCCAGGAAAAGCCTTCCAATTAACTGACCTGATAAATCTGTGGTACTCATGCCTAAATATATTACCACCCGCATACTACCTTAATAACCACATGACTGCTCATTCACTTTTGTTTCTGTATTCACAGGGAATACTGCCACGAAGCTATGTAGAGAACTAGACCAAGAAGTTGCCTTTTGGAAGTCTCAGCTATTCGCTACATCCACAAAAATGACTTACAGAACACACTTTAATTCATACATTAACTTCTGCAATGCCATTAACTGTGCACCACTCCTGGTGTCAAGTAAGAACGTGTGCCGCTATGCTGCCTTTCTGGCACGCTCTTGTGCTGTCTCGACAGTCCGTCAATACCTAAACATCATCAGGATACTGCACATGGAGTTTGGCCTAGGCAATCCTCTTACATCATGGGAGCTTAAGACCATCCTAGGGGGAATAAGACGACACAAGGGAGATCAAGGGAACCAAAAACTGCCGCTACTTCCAGAGCACCTTTATAAACTCCATGGCACATTCAACCTCAGCAACTTGCTGGACCTACAACAATGGGCCGCTTGCCTTTGTGCTTTCTTTGGACTTCTTCGAGTAAGCAACGTGACAGTGAAATCCCAGTCTGAACCAGGACATTCTTTGTGTCGGAAAGATTTTTCTGTGATGGGGAAAGGGGGCATACTTAGGATAGCCAAGTCAAAGACAAATCAGTATGGACACCCGCCACATACAGTTGTGCTGCCTTACATAGCAGGTTCTGCCCTCTGTCCCATCACAACATTGTTAAAATTCCTGGGTGCCCAGCTTGCAGCGCCTGACACACCCCTCTTCTCCTACACAGATGAGAAAGGAAATTTATCTGTGCTTACGCAATCTCTGTTTCGTCGTCGCCTCATCCAGGCTTTGAAAGATATTGGACTCTCCTCAGCCACCTACAACACCCACAGCCTTCGCAGAGGGGGAGCAACTTGGCTGATGTCCGTAGGTACACCCCTTGCCATGGTCAAAGCCATGGGGGATTGGAAGAGTGACGCCGTCTACGAATATATCAAACCGTCTACAGCTATGAAGCTAGATGTTGTTACATCAGCAGTGCAGAAACTATAAGGTTTTGTGAGTCCACACACAACTTTTATGTCGCCAGATGCATGCTCAAGTGTGAACATGAACTGTGTCATGTGCAATTTAATTAAGTGCAAATGCAGTGATTGTGATTGCTCCACTGTGCAATGAACTGAAATGCTTATTTTAACTAGACTTTCATCACAATAATCCCTACTTTGGGTTGGGACTTTTCATGATCTGTTGCAGAAATGGTTTAATTTATTTATGATCCAATCTATTAATATTGAGTTTGTCTGTTCTACTTATTTATAGTGTTCTAGATTCTGGGAAATAAAGGTCATTTTGCCCGACTCTGTGTGTGTTTTTAAGTGCCCCCTTAGAATAAGGAGTATTTAAAAGCACACAAGGGGAAGGTGCCTGCAGCTGGCCTTTGTTTCCCAGGGTTGTTACTAGTCATGTGAAAAACAATTTTGTCCTGTCAGCTCTTAGTAACTAGGCCACGTGAAAAACATCCGGTAGCGTGGCCAATGGTCATTCAGCTTAACTTTGTAGGCCCTATTAATATTTCACTCCTGGGGCAGTCTTTGTTTAGCGCCGCCAGCTGAAACATGCATAATTTTTAGCGTTAGCACACCGACCTTGCTGTTTAAGCTTATTCTGCTTTGCTCTCCCACCCACCCTTCCCTTTTCAATTTCAGGAGTTTTTATTATCTTAACTCGGTTGCAAGTGGTGGGACTTTTCATGATCTGTTGCAGAAATGGTTTAATTTATTTATGATCCAATCTATTAATATTGAGTTTGTCTGTTCTACTTATTTATAGTGTTCTAGATTCTGGGAAATAAAGGTCATTTTGCCCGACTCTGTGTGTGTTTTTAAGGTTATATTATATATCAACCCTCAACCCATCCCATGACTGTGGGTTATATTATCAACCCTTAACCTATCCTATGACTATGGGTTATATTATATATCAACCCTCAACCCATCCTATGACAGTGGGTTATACTATCAACCCTCAACCCACACTATAACCGTGGGTTATTATATCTTCCCTGAATCCATCCTAACCGTGGGTTATATATACATACACTGAACCCACCCTACCTTTGTGGGTTATACTGCTAACCCAGAACCCAGCATACTACTGTGGGTTACATTACCTTCAACACACTATAACTACCCTTACCCCACCACGCTATCATGGGTTTGGGTTATAACACCTACCATAAACCCATCCTCCCACTGTGGGTTCTTGTTGGTGCTTGTTAACATCAGTTTTTCTGTGAAGACAGGTTTATCATAAGCTGCATGAGGGTTACCCTGGAGCATAAAAAATTTAAACATGTGAAGGTCAGTCATCTTTAGACCACAGTAGGCATTTATAATATCAAAAATTCCAAATAGCTGTAAAGTATATGCACTCATCTGATTACCTTGTAGAAAGCTCCTGGTGGATTCAGGCAGATCTGAGCATGAGTGAAGTTGGTCCAAGGGAGGTTTACAGCACCATCTACACACACCTGGGTGAAAATATGAAAAGAAACAGTTTAAAGTGGGTCTTTTGCAGCCAGAAAAAAACAACAACATTACTATCCAATAAATTGGCAGTATACCTTTTGTAGTTGTTTTACTCATATCACTATACCTTAATGCCGTGTTTTGGGCTGTAGGGCACTACATAGGCAGGATGCATGTCTGATGGCTGTACTCCCGGAGGTTTGATTAGCTGCTCCTGAAATGAGCAAAATTAAATAGTTCAATCATATTTCTGGTAGTCCCAGTACTTGTTTCTGAAACAAGTATATAGTCAGAAAAGTGACAATTTCTTTCATATGTCAACAGTTTATCTTTTTCATACTTAATACAAATTAGCTTATCATAATCAGAATAAAATGTGACGTAAGAAAAGGGGTGCAATACCATGTTGTCATACAAGCATATCCACTTACAGTGATGAAGTTGGCTATGCTATCCTCTGTCCTCAGGTTTCTTAGTTCTCTCTGCTCTGCCACCAGTTCTATGGACTTCTGTGCTGTGATGGGTGTCCTCTGCGCCAACACCTGGAGAATGGAGACTTCCTGCGGGCCTGGTTCACATGACATTGATAGATAAACTCTACTACTGTAAGCTGGAGCAGGCACCCAGAGACCAAGACCTTCCCAGTCAGTTTGAGGGACCTGGTCTATCTGAAAGTGAAGGTGAAAGTGAAATGGTTGTTTCCAGTCAGTTTGGGAGGAACTTGTCTGAGGGTCCCACTGGGCATTTTGGTTACCCATTACTGCAACTTTTTATTACCAAAGCTGGGTGAACAATTTATTTTATTTAGCATGATTTGTGAATCACCACATTCCTGAGACTCATGAATGAAACTCTTTATTCTCTGCCTTTCGTGAAACTAAATCATTATCCCAGGTTAATCATGATTTTCAGAGTGTATTATCAGTGGAAAATGAATTAAAGCAATAATAACTCTTCCTTTGAGATTCAAAATTCTGCAAGAAATACATTGTAAACAACGCATGGAAATATATTCTATTGTATTTTACCACTAAAACAGCCGTTATTGTAGTAAAACTTAAATCTGTGCTTGTCAATAGGGCTTTCGATGCCTTTCTTCCCGGTCATTAAGGCATCCGTTGCTAATGACGTAAGGGTGTCACGCGGATTCTCGCGTTCATTCGAGACCAAAATAACATGGCGCAAAACGCTTTGATGCAGACGCAGACGTAAGTTGCGAGTTTTTGTACAGTGCGTCGGATAACAAAAAGCCCAGAATGGCACACATTGTGGATATAAATGCATTTTTAACCAAAAGACGAATATATCTCAGGAATCTTATATTATTGTTATATAGTGTTGTTGTTGTCTGCTTTTCCCGCGGTTTTAAGTAGGTCACCAGTGACTATGCAACGTAAGAAAGGGCGCCGTCAGTTAAAATCTCTTAAGAGATTTTAACAAAAAAACGTACATTTAGGGAAAAAACCCTGGATTAACTTTGAATGCAGGAATGGGGTCGTTGACCATTGGTAAGTACGGGAAAATGCCGTTTTTTCCAGGAAAATCCAATTTTTGGCCAAAACGAAGTTATTATGACTTTAAGATTGATTTTACTGTGATTTGTGAATTGATGATTATATTTCCCGTAAACTGTGATCATTCCCCCTCCCCCCAACTGATGGAACCCTCTTGTCTTTCTGAGAGTAAAACTAAAAGTGTCATGGAGGTTCCCAGGCTGGTTGGGGACATGGTCTCTTTGAACGAGAACGTGTCCTTGACAGATAGACCAGCTTTGGCTGGGACCCAGAGCACAGGACATCTTCAGTCATTTTTTATGTATCTGGTCTTTGTATATATGAAACTAACAATGGTGCATTCCCTTTTAAAAGCGCATTTAACATCCTCAATAATATAAATGTTGATGAAGTTTTTGCATGGGATATGTATGTTAAAAGCAATAATAACTCTTCCTTTGAGATTCAAAATTCCGCAGGAAATACATTGTAAACAACGTATGGAAATATATTCTATTGCATTTTACCACTAAAACAGCCGTTATTGTAGTAAAACTAAAATCTGTGCTTGTCAATAGGGCTTTCGATGCCTTGCTTCCCGGTCGTTAAGGCATCCGTTGCCAATGACGTTTGTGTGTCACGTGGATTCTCGCGTTCATTCAAGACCAAAATAACATCTGGCGCCAAACGCCTGATGCAATACGCAGACATAAGTTGCGAGTTTCTGTACAGTGCGTCGGATAATGAATAGTCCAGAATTGCACACATTGTAGATATAAATGCATTTTGAGCAATAAGATGAATATATCTTATGAATCTTATATTATTGTTATATAGTGTTGTTGCTGTCTGCTTTTCCCGCGGTTTTAAGTAGGTCACCAGAAACTATCACTCGATATCGCATGACTATGCAATGACAGAGAGGGCTATGTCAGTTAAAATCTCTTAAGAGATTTAAACAAAAAACCAAACGTTTAGGAAAAAAACCCTGGACTAGCTTTGAATGCAGGAATGGGGTCGTTGACCATTGTTAAGTACGGGAAAATTGCTGTTTACTCCAGGAAAATCCAATTTTTGGCCAAAACGAAGAGTTATTATGACTTTAATTCATTGATTACAAGCTGGCCATGCCATCAATCTACTAACCTCAAGAGGTTGACCATTGCTATCTAAGGCAGCGCTGACCAATCTAACCAAGATAGTGGCCCCAGAAATGTATCCCGCAGCTGTGTCGTGTAGGCATGAGCCTGTAATTGGTTCCCCTGCCTGAGGTCCACTGAAATATAGACGCAACTGGTGGGCACCCTCATTCAGAGAGATCTGGAAGATATAGATGTGAACAGTTTGTTCGAAGAGATCTGAAAGAACAACTTTGGTCTATGATCTGAATACTGACATAATCAAAGATAACACATGTAACACTTGAATGCTGCATGACGTTCATTGAAATGAGCTCACACAATCAATCTAAACCAGTAATTTTATATGGCTGTACAAAATACTTTCAATATGAAGCACAGTTTTCTAGCAGTACCTGGGCATCAGTATTGTCATCTTCTGGCTGAGTCTCAGTTCCAGATTCAACAAAAATGTTGAGAACTGCATAAGCATTGACTAAGGGATGGTCTTCCACAAATCTCTCACGTGTATAGATCTACAAAAATAACAAAGAATAATTTCACAGAGTAATTAACAAGTTTCTGGTTAATTCTTTTTATGTAAAAAGCAAATCAAACTAAAAAAATGCAATTCCACACAAGATGGCAGATCTGATTACCTTTAGTAATAATGTAGCTGTAGGTGAGATGTTTGGGTCCCTCATCTCTAGCCTATAGTTATACACAGGATTGTAAATGTCATCACTGGTTATCTTAATTGCAGCGTCCACATCAGCACCAAAGAAACTACCAGCGTCTCTACTGAGGATTCTACCAGCAACCTGGGATAAGAAAAATTCTTGTAACTTATATCTGACCATCAAACCACAATTACTGAAGGAGATTTTATTATATCTGAATATGTTGCTGTCACCAAAGCTCTTCACAAAACTTCTTCAGTGAAAGTGTTTTTTTTTTACCAGTTTTCATACCTTAGAAAATGTGACACCATCTGGCATATTTTTGCATGCATCTATGTAAATATCAAATCCCTGGTCTTGATTGTAGGGTTCACTTGGAGGTGAGCTCCTCTTGCATGGTAGCCAAGCATTCTGGAAATTATACAAAAAGAATCACCAAATAAAAGGTAATCAAAAACATTATAAGTACTGGTTGGTCCATATGTTCAATTGTCTAAAAACATTGTTTGCTTTTTCATACATATCTGACATGTGTTAGGGTTTGAAATCTCCCATCATTTAACAAAAAACATACAACATCATACTAGGAAAAATAATAACATACCACATCAGTCTAAAAATATACAGAGAGAGAGAGAAATAATAGAGAAATAATCTCTCTCTCTCTCTCTCTCAAAAAAATAAATTTAAAGATATACAAAGATAAACAAGGCATTTGACAAATACCTTAGGCAGAGTATCATCTTCTTGGTCTGATGCTTCACTTGGTGTGAGGGAGCCAGGGCGGGGTTTTCCATGGAACAGTCTAAGCCGTAATGTGGCTCGTCTGAACCTCCTAACTCCCTGGGGCTTCCATCCCATCTCCAGGGAGAAAGTGTCTGTCTCTGGTACTGGAGGCTCATACAGCAGCACTGTGTGTGTGCCAGTATTCACAGTGGACTGGTTGATGTTACTTCTATGATAACTGCTATACATATCACCTAGAAATTTAAGTCATAATATGGATCCTGTCCTATGAGTGTGAAATAATGCTTGCTTTACCAAAGCTTACATGTTAAAGACACTCTTTACACAGCTGATAATTATTTCAGTGATTAGTGTAAACATACAGAATGTAATCTACTTCAAAACTGTCAATTTCTTCTATCTATATGTATCAGTATTCCCCATTACTTCCAACTTACTCCTCCTGCCACTGGTGACAACTAGAGGCACTGCCCCCCAGGCAACCAGAGTACTTTCATCAAAATGTGAGTCATCGTCATCATCTCCCGTCCTCCTTCTCTGGAGATCATTCTTACTCAGATACACTCTAGCAATGATCACTATATCAGGCTGAATGTTTACTCCTTGGAATATGGCCTCTTGCTGCCCAAAGACGTGATACTTGTACTTGAAGTCAGCTCCTACACTACTGGTGCTGCAAGTTACTGGCCCTGTGACAGACTGGACAATCTGAAACACAAGCAATTAGTGATAGCTGTACATTTATTCAAACCATCTTGGATCCTGTCATAATATCACACAACTGTTTAATACATACATGCACTACCACTAATGTTTATAAGTTTGACAAATTACTCAACATACAAAATAAGAAATTACTTTATCAAATATATTCGTATCATAATAGAGAGAGTCAAATCTCCTGGTTAAATTAAATGTGCATCATATTCTGTTTTGTTTATGAGAATAAAGGTGCTGTCACTGTCATTGTCACATAAAAAGGGGGACAGGTTCAGCATGATGTACATACTTTCCCAGAGTGGATGTGATATGCTGCCAGTCGCACCTTGGCCAAACCTTGATCTGCACCCTTCACATGGCCCACCTGGAACCCCAGGGTCTTACTCTCTCCTGGGGTCAGCACACCTCTGGTACAGAGAAAACAAAGAACATCTGGTCATATAATATAATATTTTTGCTGATGTGTAGATTTTTTTAATGCTATGGTGAACTATTTAACATCCGAGCACAAGAATAACTGTTTACATGTATGTTAAAACACTCTAATCTTTCTGTACATGCTAATCACTTAAAATCCAGATTTTTTTAACACAATGTCATTAGCACTTATATAAAGTTCATGCTATCTGAACATTTAAAACAATATGAATACCTTCAAAATAAAAACAATGTAATCAATAAATAAAATATTAAAAACAGTACCACCTAAACTATTGCACTTATTACAAAATAAAACCATTTTTCCAAAAACAAAAATACCAATATATGTGCTACATTACAAACAAAATCTTTATATGAATAGGACAACATAAAAGGGACATTGCTGTATATAAAACAAGGGGAAAACAGACACTGTGACAAGCATGTGTGTGCATGCATGCATGAGTGAATGTGTGCGTACGTATCTTAAATCAAAACAAAAAAAGAAACAAGGCAGCAAAGCTGTCAAATGTACAGACAAAAAACAGAAAATAAAGATGCAAAAAAGGTCATTTTGTCAATTTTGATGCAATAATAAATAATGCTTATAATAGCACTGTCAGTCAACACTGAATTTTAATCTTGCACAACAGGTAACATGGTCAATAACAGGAGCAGACCCAGAGATATTTTCTGACAGTATTACAAAGTATCTATGTTGATCCATCCTCCATTTTGATGGTCTTCCAACAGAAAAAAATAGATACCAGTCAATATAAACTTAATAACCTGACTGTCTTCCGGAAGACCCAGAAGATGGTCTCAATCCACCCCTTCAATAAGATTACAGTTTCAGGACCATGAGAGTTCAAATTCACATTATGAAAGTCTCAATATTTGAAAAATGATGACAGTGCATAAAATAATATTACATAATGTTTAAAGACATAAAAAACAATACAACTGCTTATGTAGAAATACAGAAAATGTGCAGAGCCCCAGGCAGAT